CCAGCACAATCGGCGGTGGCGATGCTGTTAATAGACATGGGCAATGTGTCTGCGGAGAAATGACATGTCAGACTCTCAATCTCTCTCTCTCTCTCTCTCTCTCTCTCTCTCTCTCTCTCTTCTTTCTCACTTCTTTCTCTCTTCTTTCTTTTGTAAGGCGGAGACGCAATCTCAACGCACTTGTGTCGAGACAATCGGTTCCTCAAACGAAACCTAAACTTGCAATGTGAAACAATGTTTGTTTGGTTTTAGGGGTCTATATGGAATTCATCGGCAATGTTCACAATGCCTAATTTGTGAGTGAGATTCCTAAGAACCTCAGTCGGTGAGTATTTGGTCAATATGTCAGCGGGGTTGAGCTTGGTGTTCACTTTGCGAATGCTCAATACTCCTGCGCGCACAAGATCTTGCATGTACAAGTATCTCAACTCAACATGCTTGGTCTTTTTACCTGCTCCGAATCTTGTGGCAATGGATCGTCCTGCTGTTGAATCCGTGTATACAACCATGTTAACACGCTTAGCGAATTCGGCCTCTAGAATCAATGATTTCAAGAATAAAGCCTCGCTAGTGCCTTGTCCAATGGCATACAGTTCAGCCTCTCCTGATGACAATGCTACAGTGGCTTGCGTGCGGCTCGTGTGGATCATATCCGAGCCCAATACTTGTGCAGTACTGCCAGACGTGGACTTACGCGTCTTGCTGCAATCTGCCCAATCACTGTCAACATAGCAAACAATGTCGAGAGAAGACGTCCAATCGCGCAACATGAAAGTAGGCTTGATGCGCAATACATAGTCTCGAGTACCAGCAAGATACCTCAATAGATGCTTAAGCTTTGCTAAGCTCTCAATCGTCGGAGACTTGACGTCCCTCGACAACTCCTTGACTGCGTACGAGCAATCCGGACGGACGAATGCGAGCCACAGCAATTTGCCTACGGCTGTTCTGAAGAGCGAATGTGCCTTCGCGTCCAATGCGCAATCCGCATCCTCAATCCGTTTCAATGAGGTTGACCCTGTGGTGTTCACGGGGTTTGCTTTGTTCATCGAGTACAATTCCAGGAGGTCAACAATGTACTGCTTCGGCATGAGAACATCAATGGAATCTCCGTTGTGCCTCAATTTCCTGCCGAGAAAGCTGTGTTCGGTGTTTGGTTTCAATTCACCAGTGATCTTCACTAGAAGTTCTTTGCTTAAAGCGTCAATGAATTCCTTCTTCAACTTCGGATCACCTACAATGAGAAGGTCGTCAACGTAGGCCAAAACATACAAATTCCTCGACTTGTGACAATACAAGTTGCTGTCGGATTTGCAACGACGGAAACCCAATTTGACCATGACACTGGCGAAATGATCTTGCCACAATTTGGGTGACTGACGCAATCCGTACATAGCACGATTTAATTTCCACAAACAATCGAGGTTGGGATAATATTCCGAAGGGGGCCAAACGTAGACTGATTCTTCAATGAACGCGTGGAGGAATGCCGTTGAAATGTCAGCAAGGCTAATCTCCCATGAACGAGCCAATGACATCAACAACAACAGACGCAATGCCACAAGCGATGGAGTGCTTGCGTAAATAGAATCGGTGTCAATCTTTGACGAATCTTGGAAGCATCCTTGAACAACCAATCTCATTCTCAATTCGGTGTCGGTTTTCCACCTTTTCACCCATCGGACACCAATCGCACCATCAATGTCAGACTGTGAACATTTGTCAATCGGGACCTCAGTGTAAACATTGAAATCTTTCATCGATTGCATCTCTTTGTTCATTCCAATGCGTTGAGGCTCCGCTGGGAATTCTCTAGCGGTATCCCAGATCACTGGTTCGCTCAATCTGATTTCTTGGTGCAATTCATCGTGGTCCATATTCACGTGAACAGGAACGGCAATACCGTCCTTCAGAACAACATCTGTTGCTCCAATGATGCCAGCAATATACTGGACTGCTGAAGCAACATGAAATGTCACTGAGCGCAATGCGGAAATCCTCTGAACCTTAGCTGGTGAGGTCGGGACCTCAGTGTCAGGATCAATCCTGGAGGACTTCGCTTGCGGTTCCTCAATCTGATCACCTGGACGTCGAATGCCTGGTGAGAATGGCAATGGTGGTTCTGAAGTCTCAATCTCATGGGGAGGCAGTTCTTCCAATTCGATAGCTTCTCTTTGTTCAATCGATAACTCATCTGGATCAAGCAATCGAACTGCTGGTTCCTCCAATGTCTCTTCTCCTTCGGCGGGATCTTCGATCGTGTTCGGTTCGGCTGGAGCAATTTCTTTCACTGCAGCTTTCGCGGTAGTACCACGATTTTTCTGCAGAATGCTCAATGCATCCGAATAGACGAAATCCGTAGAGTCATCTTCTGAAACACGTGGCTTCCAAGGCAATGCTTGGAGATTCTTGATTGGTTCTGCATTCCACTGCAATGAAGGAGAGAATCGTCGAATGGTACGAACCTTCTTTACTCCTTCGGGCAATGCAACAATAATCTCGTCTGCCTCGGTGTCACGTCCTAGCCATAATGCAGTCTTCCACGGAATGTCGCTCTTCTTGGAGAATTTAGGGTTAATGACCTTTGCCTGAATCACTTCTCCAAAGCAACACAATCCGCCTTCATAATTCCGATTCCATCTACGGAAATAGGATGTTTTACCATCAGAATGGATCAAGTACCTGTTCAATAACCACTGGGCATGCTTGACACACCAGGGGTAAATGACACTATCAGAGCTGAGTTGAATGTCGCAATTGAACTCAACTTGGTACATCAATGATCTCAATTGACCGTAGAATGTCCTCTGCATCTGGCCTACAGAACCTTGTGCCTGAGAATGGCCCTGTGGTGCGGCTCTAATGCTGAGGCCTCCTAATTCCGCACAGACTCGAACACACAATGACTTCAATGAGGCTTCTTTGTCATATTGCAGAATACCGAATGTACGTCCGCATTCATAGATGAACTTCTTCAATTCGGCTGCTGCATAATCATCACTGCCTTTGCTTGGAACAACAATTGTCATTCCTAGACCTGTGACAACATCGACTGCTGTCAATAGCTTCCTCAAGGGTAGCTTTGGATCAGTGGCATGGAATGCATAATCTACCTGAATGACTGGTTGTCTGTCCAATTGTTTCTTGGACGCGCCATGTCTTCCTTTCGCCTTCACACAATGCGGACACCAATCTCGATACGGTAAATGAGTCAATTCATGCTGTCGACGTTCGGCCGCTGATGGTTCCGAGGGGACCCTCAATCCTTTAGGGGGCCTTGCAGTGACGTCAATGGTTTCTGGAATGGGATGATCAACTTCCATAGGGCTTGCAATCCCAAAGACCGAAAATCCAGTCCAATGGAAACCCAATTTCCTGTCGGGATCTTCTTCAGGAGACTTGTCGGTTCCTGACGAATCTGTCCAATTGCACCAATGATCCTCAATCTCAAGACCGTTTTTCTCTGGATCAGAACAATCCAAGACGCAAGTGTACCTATTAGCAATCAGCAGATTTCCGAATTCATACGAGTCTGCTGACGACAATGGTGATGGGCAACGATCAGGGTGGATCAATGAATCACGCTCACCATGTACCATCCTTATCCAATGCGTAGGAGTCTGTATCCAATGGTCCGTAGTACGAATGCTGTCAGTCTGAGGATCCTTGATGTAGAACAACCGCACAAGCAATTCCTTCATGTTAGAATTGAATTCTTTGTTTGATCGCAATCTGTTCATGATCTCCTTTTCAGCTTCTGTTGTGACAATATGTTGGCGATCAATCGCTACTTCGGTTCCTCGGTTGGAGACATCAAGGGACGAAGACGAGGGTTGGGTGGGTGGGAGCAATGCAGGAGGTGGCTGAGGATCAGCAGGTTTAGACAGTCGGGAACGGTTAGTTGGTAATGCTGCTGAAGGAGCTTCCTGATACTCCAATGCAACTTTCTTTGCCGCTTCCAATGTCTTACCTGTCAATGGTTTCATCTTGAAACTAGTGCGTCCTCGCCATGACGGAATGCTCTCATCACGATTATCAACTTTGTCGTCGTCCAATGTTCTGAAGTCCTTGTCAGCAATCACATCAGACGTGCCGTCCTTGAAGAATCGTTCAGTCTCTCTTTCTCCAGTCAATCTGTTTTCGTCAATGGGCAGTTTTCCTCTCAAGTACCGCAATCCAAACAAATATTGGCGCGGCTTAACGTGGAAGCGCACCAATAAACTTTTCTCTTCGTTGATGACCCAATAGTCAGAATTCTTCATGTTTTCGCGTTTGGGAGCTGACTTGGGTTCAATCTTAGATTTGGCTTTGGCTTTCGCAGCAAATTTGGACAATGCTTTGGGCTTGGGCTTGGTTTTGGCTTTAGCTTTAGCTGCAGCAATCAATGAATGAATCTGAGCAATATGCTCCTACTCATCCTCAATATCAGTGATGCCTCGAAGCTCAATGTCGCCATCTCCCAAGTCCATTTCTGCCATAACAGCTGCAATTTGAAGTTCGTTGTACTGACAATCCGACTGGGCGAACGGAACAACAGTTGCTGTCAAATAGACAAGAGTGCCCTGACGGACAATCGGGACTGGCTTACAATCTGGGGTCAGTAAAGCCATGAAGTTCCTACTCAATACAGTCCAAAAATCTTGAAGAAGAAATCTGGACACTGAGACCAATGGGAACGGAATGTGCTGACAGACATAGAAATGAATGCACAGCGAATGACCACCACAATCGAGTTCGACAACGCGCTTGCCTATAATGTCCAATGTCTTGCCTGAAATACTTCTGAGGATGGGACAATCCGACCCAACAGGTATCAATGGATAATCTTCGGCAAACCACGGTGGGCAGCAATTTGCTGATGCTCCACTGTCGAAGAATCCAACTTCGCTCAACTTGACCTGAGCTGTTGTGGAATGAGGCCAATCTGTCCTCGTTCTCAGTCGAATGAGGGTTCACCTCATTGTCACTTTCAATAGAAGATGTAGAAGGTGATCTCAACAATGGTGCTTCACCTACAATGGGAGCACTCAATGGAGAATGTTCTGGAAGTGCGGGAACGCTGGAAGACAATGTGCCAATTAGCATCAATGCTCCAACGAAAAGCTTGCTTGCAATACCTGGTCGCGAACGTGCAATGCCTGAGCCTCTCGAGTTACTCGAGCTGCTACTGCTTGAGGCAATGAGACTATCATTAGCAATCTGATCAGAGGGTGACAATCCTGGCGGGGGTCCAGCAATAACTGCGGCAGCAGTCTGCGGTTGGACCTGGCCAATGGGTGCAGCGGGGGCTGCTGTTGCCTGAGAAGCAATCGGCTGAGCTGGCGGCGGCAATGCTAACTGGGCCTGATGAGGCCAATCAGCTGAGTGCCAAGACGAATCCTCATACCACGACCAATCCTGAGACAGACCGTGGCTGTCATCATACCACCAATCTCCATACCCATCGTCCTCAGTCCAAGAGGGGTCGTCAAACAATGCTCCTTCGTATTCAGACCAATCAGTGCTCTCTACGTTCTCTACTGAGCTCTCGTTCCAATCACTCCAATCTTCATTCCATGTTCCTTCATCTATGTTCCACAATGCCGCTTGGGTGTTCGCTTTTGGGCATTCATTGGCCCAATGATCGTGAGACCCACACAGGAAACATCCTATGTCCTTTCCTTTCAATCCTTTTCCTTTTCCTTTACTCTTTCCTTTTCCTTTTCCATAACCTTTGCCTTTGAATCCTTTGTGGCCTCCGAATCCTTTTCCTTTGCCTTTTCCAAATCCTTTGCTGAATCCTTTTCCTTTCTTTCCAAATCCTTTGTTCTTTCCGAGTCCTTTGCCTTTTCCTTTGCTCTTTCCTTTCCAATGTCTGTACCCTTTCCATGCAGCGCCAATGTCCATTGGGACAGGCGAATCGTTGGCTGGAGCCTTCACATTAACAAGATGCTTCGATTGGTAGTACTCTTTAATGATCGTCACAATCTGGTCAAACGTGCGCAGTGTGTTGGCTTGCAATCTCAAATGCTGCTGCAATTGACCCTTGGTCTTGTTCATCATCAATGTGACAAGCAAATCATCTGCCAATGCACTTCCGGTCGCTCTCTCATGCTTGTTCTTCAAGACAATGAACTGCGTCAAATCCGCTTCGAAATGGGCGTCTCGGAATTGATGCTCGAGCAATTGCGACAATAGGCTGACACCTTTGGCCCTGTTAGGGAGTGCAAATCTCTCATGCAATTGTCGCCAAGTTTCGAATCCGTTTCCATGTTCGTTCAATCGTACAATAAGCCTGGCATTATCGTCGGTCAAGTTCGCAAGAAGGTAATGCAATTGTTTGGAAAATGCTACCAATCCTTGTCCGGCATAGTAGTTGTTTTCCTCAGTCTGAACCGCATGGTCATCAATGGTAGTGTTGACTCCTTCGACTCTGTCCATCAATGCCTGAGCAACAGGTTTGTAAAATGCGACGTACGCTTTCAATTGCCATGACCAATCTTCCCACTTGTCGTGCTCTCCTTTGAATACAGGAGGAGGAAACAATTTGATCTCTCCACCTAATCCTCGGGACTCTCCCAATACAGCCATTACTCAGAATGTCCTTAGCGCAATGGAGGACCCTGGGCTTCGCCGCAGGGCTCCGCTACCATGAAAAATTCAAGGAACAATCTGTGAGCTTCGCTGGAGTGCCGTATGCAATCAACAATCCAATGCACAGACGCGGATGCAATCAGCTTCAGAATGCAATCACTCGGTCGACGATCTTCTCACGAAAAATCAGATCAATCTTGAGCCAAGTGCAGAGTGCACGAGTGTACAATGGCTGTGGTGAACTGATGCTACAATCTAACATTGAAGGGGGGCTTAAGGGGGGCTTGAAGGGGGGCTTCAAGGGGGGCTTCAAGGGGGGCTTGAAAGGGGGCTTGAAGGGGGCTTGAAGGGGGGCTTAAGGGGGGCTTCAAGGGGGGGCTTCAAGGGGGGGGGTGAAACCATAAACCTCTAAAGGGGTAGCTCTAACAGGTACCTACAGCAATGGCTGCATGCTCATACATATACATTCCGCTGCCCATTGGCTCACAGTGGTTTTACCATATTGAGACAGAACAAGCTCTCCTTGCGTAGCAAGACAAAACAACTACTGTCCGTGTGCAGGGCGCTGCCCTTTGATCCTTAGGGAATAAACTGGTCATACACCTCCTAACAAGGAGCATATCCTTGGGGGTGTATCGGCACAGTTTTCTGGTAGCGGAGCCCGGAAAGGGCCGCCCGCCTCACAAAGTCCGCTACAGCGGTCGGCCTCGCCGAACGCTTGACCAAGCGGATAAGAGGCAGCACAATGTCGAGCTCGCATAGCGAAGCCGACGGCAGTTCCCAATCCTCCGGGGGATATGAGAACGAAGAGACCTCCCAAGGTCCAGCCACTTATGTCGCACAATCATATGCAACATCTGACCGCATGCAAGCGATCGCGCCTGCCTATGATGGCACCACCTCGTGGTTTGAGTATGAACAGTTGATTGACGACTGGTGCGACATAACAACGCTGGATGACACCAAAAGAGGTCCGTCTCTCAAGACGAGGCTCTCCGGATTGGCCGCAGTACAAAAAGAATCACTTAACCGAGAAAGGCTTGCAGCCCCAGATGGAGTAGATTACTTCAAGAAGAAGATGCGTCCATTTTTCGTGAAAGGAGAACAGTACGTTTTCCTGTGGCGTTTCCTCGGCCTATTCAAGGCATGGAAGGGCAACCAAGACTTTGTGACTTGGATTGCTAAGTTTGAGATCGTGCTACAGCGCGTGAAAAACTCATGGATGGATCTCTTACCAGAGATAGCTCTGGAAGATGCCCATCCAGATTTCATGCAAGCTGTGCAGGCAGACCGAACCTTCCTGGGCCTACAGGAAGCAGCCGAGAGAGACACATACGCCGCACGCTATTTCGAAACATGGAACAAGGAACGCCTTGACAATCATCGAAGAGCGTTTCCTCTGAATGATAATCTCCTAGCTCTTCTCTTCCTAGTGCAGTCCGACCTAAATGAGATGCAACGTGAGAGGTTGGTAACAGCATTGACCAACCAAGGTCACCGAATTGAGACCTATACGTACCCTGTGGTACGGCAGACCATGTTCGATCAGTTCTCAACGACCAGAATGGTCTGCAGGATCCCAACATTCGGCACTCTTCTCACAAGAAGGACCGCCATGGAAGGAGAGACCAACGCCGCAAACGCGGAGGTCGAAACTTCCTCATCCTCGATCAGGGTGAATACGACGGAGTCGATGGATTCTGGCTCCAAGACGAAGACACCCTTGAGGAAGGCTTTCTTGCCGCCGAGGATGAAGAAGCTGTCTTCTGGACAGTTGACGACCATGAAGCCTTCGTTGCAAGGAGATTCAAAAAGGGAAGAAGACCAAGAATGCGTCCCGGATCACCGGGAAGAGCAAAGGGTGGCAAGCGAAAAGGACGTGGCCGTTTTAGGTCATACCGCGGAAAAGGGAGAGCCAACCAGGCAGAACATGATCCAACTGATTCCAGCTATTTCGGTAAAGGTAAAGGAAAGGAAAAAGGAAAAGGTGGAAAAGGCAAAGGAAAAGGAAAGGACAAAGGAGATAAAGGAAGCTCCTTCAAGGGCTCAAAAGCAAAAGGCAAAGGTAAGGATACAGCTAAGTCTGCCTCCTTACAAGGAGACCAAACTGGATCTCCACAGGCCTATGAAGTTCCACCGCACCGAGCTGGGATTCATGGTATGAGGACAGTTATTATACTGACTCCAGTTGGAATTATGCCGCTTATGACGATCAAACGTCTTATACATACTATGCATCACAAGCCTCAAGAAGAAAAACACGGAGAAAGAAGAGAAGAAATCAAGCAGGATCATCAGGTAGAGGCACAGATCCGAGCGCGCACCAAGAACCCGTGTTCAACTCATCAGTGAGTTACGTGCCCCAGGTCTCTGAACCATCCGAGGGGCAAGGTGTGGAGACTGCAACAGCAGTGTTTCCGTTGCAGCACACCGTCCTATCTGCTCTCACAGAGCGGATCAATCTTGATAAGAGCCCTACCTTTGTCATACTTGACTCTGGTTGTACTAGGGCTATGGGTTCCCGCTATGCGGTGAACAGGCTTATCAAGGCCGTGAAGCAACATGCCCCAGGCATGATTGATTTCACTTTTTCACCTTCGAACACGAAGTTCTCTTTCGCAGATAGTGAAACAGCTCTTATCAAGGAGCGTGTAACTCTATGGTTCAACACAACTCCAAGAAGAGATACAACCATAGAAGTTTTGGATCAGGGGAGAGTCCCCATTTTGTTTTCCATCGAACAGATGAGGAATCTAAGAATGACCTCGAGTGTAGTCCCACAGCTGACCTAGCAACGTGTGAAGCTTTCGGTTTGTATAAAACCCCTCTTCCGATTAGTACCAATAACCATTTGGTATTGGACCTTCTAGGCTTCACTTCCACCAGGAAGTATCTCCCTAAGTCAGGTACGTCGTTCAGTGCGACGGAGACTGCTCTAGGAGCCAATAAGCCTTATACTAGGATACCGGAAGGTCGCTGTCCAGCCTGTGCCGGACAGAAAAGGGCTCACACGTACCTCAAGGGTTGCGACAAAGCACCTGAGGGAGCAGCTGATCCACCACCGAAGAGGATTTCAGGTAAAAAGAAGCCTCTTCCATCTGATCCGGCAGAATCATCTGCCAAGAAACTTGATCCACCAGAACCATCTGGTGATGCTCCTGAGCCTTCCGGACCATCGGAACCATCATCAGGCTCTAGGGACAAACCTGCAGAATCCTCTGCACCACATGAACCTCCAGAAGAAGAAAGACTTGAGGTCCCACCTGCGAAGATAAAGACTCCAAAGGGTCTTAAAAACCTTCTGAAGAAATCCCGCAAATATGCGGTTAAACCTCCTGTTGAAGAGAAGTCTAAGGTCCCAGGAGCTGATGACGGGACGGAGGTAAGACCACTTGAGTCAAGAGAATACCCGGCTCCTGGTACAGACTCACCTACAGGTGAAGAGATTGTCGCGGAACCATCGCCATCTCTTCCCATTGCTCTTCGCAGGATTCATGA